ATTTAGGGCTTTGGAAGAGTCTTGATAGAGTCAAGGAGGGCTGTGACCTCCAAGCCCAGGAGTGAGAAGAAATGAGTAACATCTTCTGAGAAACTCATTCAGGTGCGCTTGCGATACATACCTTGGGGGAACCAAGAAGGAGATCAACATGTAGGAAGTGGGCAGCTGCTCTTTGGACTTAGGACTTTTTTCTTCCACGTGTTTTTTGCAGGATCATGAAATGGATGTCTACATTTAAATTGAACTTTTTCAGTTCAACCCCATATCATCATGGAAATCCTTCCCTAGGTCCTCTTAGGCAGCAACTGAGAAGACCTGCACAGGCTGCATGTGTGGCCAGTGGGGTCCTGGGTGCCTTGCACTCCTGGGGTGGGTTTCAATGTCCAGGTTTGGTATCACCAATGTATGGACCATGGGTTTTCCCACCTCAGCTTTGTTTTTTTTTTTTTTTTTTTTTTTTTTTTTTTTTTTTGCTTTAACATCTTTCTAAAGTACTACCTTGACCTCAACACAGTGTTGCTACAATGCTGAGTTGTCTCACTGTGCAGTCATTGTTCCTTGTGGTTTTGATTAAAACTGAAGGACAAATGTTGTTTTGAAGGCTGTTAATTATTTGCTTTATTTATTGCTGATATAGAAAGCAAACGAATCTCTGGTCTGTTGTCTCCTGTTCAAGTCATTGTTGCGCTAATGTCTAGGTATAGCCACTCAAGAACTCTCATTAGTGGTTTGTTGTTTATTTGCTTTTCACATTGAAGATCCTATTAACTGTGTCATCTTTGGTTATTATATCAATAGAGATAATTTCAGTTGCTGTAACTTGATTTAAAGGGGAAAAAAAATGCTGCTCCTAACATAATATGGAACAGTTATATCATAAAATCATAGAATCATAGAATGGTTTGGGTTGGATAGGACCTTAAATATCATCTATTTGCAGGCCCCTTACTCTGGGCAGGGATGCTGGATACCAGATCAGCTTTCTCAGGGCCCCTTTTAACCTGACCTTGAACACTTCCAGAGACAAGGCATCCACAACTTCTCTGGGCAAACTGTTCCAGTGTTTTACCACCCTCTGAGTAAAGAATTTCTTCCTAACATCTAATCTAATCCTGGCTCCACAGACTCCATTTAATCTTCTTAATACAAAATACCTTTTTCTAAGACATTTTTTCTTGCTTCTCTAATAAATTAGTCTAATTTATATATGTCATCTGTGGTATAACTCACAGGAAGCTGTAGTAAAACTTTGTGCAATTTTTTAAGAATTCAGTTTATTGTTTCAAAATTCATCATCTTGCTAATAGTGTTCTGAAACTGTACAGTGTACAGTCTGATAAGGGGTACTTAGAAGAAGCATTGTGCGTAGAACTGGTGTGGTCTTTAATTTCTGAATTGCATGATAGAAGGTAAACATGCTGGTCAATAATGAAAACTAATCTTTAATTGCCGTAAAGGACATCTGTACATACTTTCAGTACCCAAATGAATTCAGGTACAGTTTCTACTGTTGTAGAATGCATTTATTTTAGAATTCAGAATTAAATGGCATTTCTAATGTTTCTGGGTAGTTGCTGATACAGCTACAATATCAGCACAAAATACTGAGCATCAGCATCATATATTTTTGTTACTTTTCTCATTTAAATAACATACTAAGTTTCAGTGGAAAATAGTTAAAACTATGGCAGTGATTTGGGGGGATATTTTCATTGCTCTTTGCTGAAAAAAATTAAAATTACCTGTTTCCTAAAAAAATCTGAATTTATGTCTCTGTCCTCTCTTCAACCCTGCCATGGCATTTCCCTGGTCCTGGGCAGGAAGCTACAGGTGCTGTTTTCACAAAACTTTGTCAAGACAGTTTCTAATGAAAACACTTATTTTTCTTACTATCATTCATCATGAAGTAAGTTTGTTGGCTTGATTAATTTCCGACTGGGCAAGTATCCAGAGTGTTTTTAATAATTCACAGCTGATAACAGCTCTGAGGCCATGTTTTGGAGGCTCCCCAGAGAGCAGCCTGAGCTCATGCTGGGATGCAGGCTAAACCAAGGCTGCCTCCAGAGCCTAGTCCTTTAGGTTTGCATCTTTATTGTTCAGATGAAGTAGCCTGAGAAAAACACCAGTTCCATACATAAGACTTACTGTGCCCTTGCTGTCAGGAAAGGAACAGTTTTTGTTGTGGTATGCTGGTACTTCAGCAGGTGGAAAACTTTTATGGCTTCTTAATCAACTTTGCATCCCAAATGCCATTGAGATTTGGCCAGCTAGATCAGGTGGAAAGATTTCTTTTGTGGCTGGGAGTATCTGTCACATGACATCTGTCCTATGCAGTGCTAAATATTTCTACTGTTAGAAGTTTTAGATCTTGCTATAGTTGGAATCCTGGTGATGGAAGTCTAAATGCTGGCACCCATGATTTCCATGTTTCTCATGATAAAGCATATATAAATAAGCAGACCAGCTGCTCACATACTGCTGAAAGCTTGCATCTCTGTAATTGCCAGACACTGCATGGATACCTTAGGGTTTAAGTTAAGATGCCTACATAATATTTGCCTGCAGTTCAAGTGTGAAATGTTTCTGAGGGCACAAATGTGAGGAAATAGCTAAAGCCAAGGGATGGGACAAATCAGATGGTTAAAGTACAAAGCATTATTTGACCTGTCTTCAGCAAGGTTTTAAGCAAGTGTTTAATTTTGTGATCATTCAGTCACTGCTGGCGTGGCCCTTTAGAAATACCTCTCCTTGTTTCAATTAGCTTTTCTAGGAAGGGATGACAACACTCAGTATTCAGTGCTGGAACACCAGACAGTGAGGAGTACTGTAGTTCTTCAGGAATTTGGCTTATGTTCTTATGAGGTTGTACAAGGGAAGGTGTTCCTGCAAAACCACAGTGAATGGTCCAATAGCTAAGAAGAAACTGTGGCTATCAGTGTCTGGATTGTGATTTAAAAAAAAAAAAATTAAAGCCATATACAATTTATGTTTTGTGCAATGAGGTTGTCTTTGGGGCTTTAATTGTTGTGTCATGCAAGGAAGATCTTGTTTTACTCAACACGCCAAACCTCACCTGGTAATAAGTCAATTCTGTTAAGCAATTTGAGTTTTACTCAAAGGCACAGGAGCAAACCTGCAGAAATCATGCCTTAGTCATTCAGAATCTGCTTAACTTCAAAGGTAGCTTTTTATGTAGGCTACAAAAAACTTGGCCCGGTACCAGCTACAACAAACAAAACTCTGTATTAGTATATTCACCACATATTTTTGCCAAGATCCATCAAAATACTGGAATAACTTTTTGTATGCTCTTTCAGGTATTCCCCTGGGTGTTATCCAATGAGCATTGCCAGATGCTATTACAGCCAAAAAGGTGTTTCACCACCTTCAACACTGTGGGTCAGCATCTTAGGATCTGAGCATATGGGATATGGTGATATAGAAGAGAAACGTGAGCTCTCCTAGATAGGGTTCTGCCAAGTTTTGTTTTTTTTCTCTTGATCATTAGGCCTGTGTTAATCAATATAACAGTGGGAGAGAGATAATAATTACCGAATGAGTTGAACATTCAGTATATGGTTTTCTCAGAATTTGGTGAGAGAAGTGAAAAAGTGATTTTCCTGTTACCAGCATTCAAGTATGCTTATTTCTGTGGCCAACTGGACGACAGAAAGCAGCCATATATGGGCTGAAATTCCCCAAAGAATGTGCAATAAATACATAGTTTGGAAGAAGGTTTCGCAGGGTCTCAAGAACACAGTAGTCATGGAGGGAGAGGATTCTATTTCCAGCTCAAGAAATAGTTAGCACCACAGGACTTGTTTATTTAGTGGGGAAAGAAGACTAAGAGGAGTAAGTTCTTGAAATAACAAATTCTCTCTTCATGAAACAGCATAGTAGTAAAATCATGGTCCCAGGTTAGAGGCATTACCTTTCTGTTGGGAACTGGTGTTTGTTTTGGTAGGGTTTAGTTTGGGGGGAGGATGTTTCCTATTCAGAGCCCCTCGTGAGGCTGACCGAGGTGTGCGGTGCCCTTGGCTGCATGGCAGAAGCAGCCTGTGCCAGGGCCTGGTTTGGGCTGCAGAGCTGGGTAGAGGTTGGCACAACCCAGCTGCCTCATGATGAGCTGGTGGGCAGCAAGAACACAGCTGCAGGCTACACACTTTGCGCCTTTCCCATGGCCATGGAAATCTGGGACTTTGTGGAGCAAAACATCCAGCTCTTGTGCCCTGAAACCTGAAAGTGTTGCTGAATGTCGTGGCTGTACTGCAGATGTGTGTGGCTTGCAAAGGCTGGAAGGGAATGCTGCAGCCTGAACAGTGTGAGGACTGTAGTCAGGCAGCTTAGGACACTGACTTTTGGAAGGTGTGCAGCATTAGCAGTAGCACAGTCAAGAGTTGCTCAGGGACTAGATTTGGAATATTATCAATTCTGGAAGAAGGTCATACTTTTCCAGTATATGTTCTGTCAGACTTGTGGGGAAGTCTAAATATAGACTAGATGTAAATGCCCCAAAGAGCACCAACTTCCTTGAGAGTGTTTCAAGCAAAGGGAGAGGAAATCAATCTCTTCTACTTGACTTTCGTGGTACTGTGTGTGGTCATCAAGAACAGATCAACCTTTTTTGCCAAGGCACTTTTGAAGATAATGCAGATTTCCTTTCCTGTAACTTTCTAGAAACTGTACCCAAAAAGGTAACAAATAATGAGGGAAACAGCCATTTTCATAGACCTTGGAGAGGCTTAAATTAGCCCTGATGACCTGTTCTAGTAGTAGTTGCTAAAACAATTATTTACATTTGCCTGATTACATTTGTTGTAGTAGTTGTGGGTGAGTGGAAAATAATGATATCCATAGAAAGTAAGAAAATTAGTGGGCTTTTCTCTGTATCTTGTTTTTTCTTTTTCTTCTTGAATTGCAGTTTTTAGATGAAAGTAGTCAAAAGTTTTTGTGCAGGATGTCTGTGTTTATAACTTGTACAATTTGTTTTCCAAATCTAGATCATTGACAAGGACATTAATCCCTTTGTGGATAAGTGGGAAGAAGAAGGACAGTTCCCAGCACATAAAGTGTTTAAAATCCTGGGACAGGCTGGATTCCTTGGTGTGGATAAGCCAAAAGGTAGGCGAGTGTGTAACTCCTGCCTATTAATAATGATAGACTCAAAAGATTAATTCGCTTTTGCCCCAGGTCAAAGCACGGGTTGGGATTCAGTGCAAAGTTTGCTTATATTTCTCAGTCACATACATGCTGGTTACCAGCTCTGCAAATACACAAAATAATGTTGTTGAGTACTTAAGTTGATGTACTTCTAAATACAAATGTTAAAATCTGTATGACTGTTATTTTAAAATTAGGAAAATGAACATCACTTATGTTTTCAACATAAAATCTGCATAAGAACTTTTCTTCTGCATCCAGATATGTATGAAATAATCTAGATCTTCATTAAGGAAACCACAATTTGTAGACAATGGAAGCATTTTAAGATTTGGCTTATTGTACTTCCTGAACATGCAACGTCTCAGTCATTTCAAAGGATGAGGATAATGTGGCCTTTAGGCCATTATCCCCTAGATTGTCTTTAAAATGCATTGTTCCAGCCCACAGAAGCCTGAACAGAACAGGACACTGATGACACAGAGAGCAGGTTTTTGTGTGTATGTTCATATATGTAAGTGACCCAAAATAGGAAGTATTTCTGCTCTTCAGCTAAGATACATATTCTGCTATCTATTTTTTTATATGTGATATAATATATACTTGTTTTCTTTTCAAATGCTGCTGTTACATGTTCAAGTCAGAATTCTCAATGATTTTTTTACCCCATTTTCCTACATTCAGAGCAGCCCGAAGTGTTTGACAGTTAACTGCAGATAATTTTCTGTATGGGGTGGCTCACATAACCTCAGCTATGTCACACCACATCATGATGTTGTTAAGGCACAGGGTTCTGTGCAACACATTATGTCTTTTTATCACTTAATTTCAGAGGGAATATTCCCTCTTGAAATGAACTCAAATTCTTATAATGTGGAAGGTTGTCCCACAGCTGTTCAGCTGTTAGATCTCAGAGAACTGTTGGGCTGTGATTGTCTGACAAATCCAATTAGATCTGAGCTGGTATTTTTTTACAAAAATGCTGACAGTTCAAGATTATGCTTAAGATCTATTTAAAGGACAAATAGGATTACTGGGGGAGAGAGAAAACCACTTCTACTTTCTGCTATAATTGTTTGATAGGCAGATTTGAAGTGTATCTCACTGGGTCTCCTTTGCATTGCTGACATTCTTGTCAGGTGTAATAATGGTGAATTGCATGGCTGGCAGATTTCAGTTCTGCCTTCTTATATTCATCTCAGGGCATGCAGAGGCTTCAGCTGGGGTAAGGAACCTGAATGCTGACGGTGCTGCTCATAAAACATTACAGAGGTGGAAACTTGTATAATGCTCACAAAATATCTGGACAAGAAATAACTGGAGTAAAATCCAGTGAAGAAGGGACTCGTGGAGGTAAAGGTGGCATAGAAGGTTGCATGCACTTATTACACTTGTCATACTCATGTTTAAGACTATTTTAACTTTGGCTTTGATGTTTGTATCTAGCTGTTATCTCTGTAGCTACTTTTCATAAAAGGTATAAAAAAATTGATAAAATCCTCAGCAACCTGTGATCCACCTCAGTTCAGTATTGTTGGGCACAGAAAGTGCACCAACTCCTTGGAAGCTGCTGTCTTTGCAGCATTCAGTTGTGCAACAGGATTTCACCAGATCCAGCTTTTCTCTGTAATGGTTAATGCCACCAGGTACATCCTGAAAGTCCTGAAACTTTCTCCCGATGGTAAGTCAAAGTAAGGTGTGTAACAGCACAGTGTATGTAACTGCACAACTTTGGCAAAGCCAAAAACTGAAATTCTTTGTCTTCTACACTTCTACACAGTGCTTAGGCTTGCTGAATTATTACGTAAAATAGAATTAAAAGATCCACTTTTATACTCTGCTCAGCCACTTCTGTTATTTAGTTGCTGTTTGCAGAGGAGGAGAAGTCTTATGAAATTTGAAGGAGCCAAGAACAGCCAGGAGCTTTGGAGGGGTGTTGCAAGAGGTTTGAAGAAGGGATATTTAACTGATTTGAGGAGAGCAATTGCAATGCAGAGCACTTGTGAGTTAAGAGTCTGCCCTACTTTCTCTTTCACAAACCAAGATTATCGTGTTGTATCTCTTCAAATCCAGATCATAAGACATTCTCTTTAAAGAACACTGATTTTTTTAAAGTTAATTCACTTTAGTAATAGTTGCAATTTTGAAATGCAAGTTTTATTGAATTTGTTTTCCAAGATCATTCTGTCAAGTATGGAGGGTTTTTTTCCTGCAGAAATAATTTTGAAGCTTTCTGATTGGGCAGAAATGGGTCACTTGTTTTGCTTAGATAGAAGGAAACATCTGTTGGATTTTAGATTTGTTGAAAGTAGACTTTTTCCTGTGTAAACACCATTCCCTTTATGAACAATGAGCTGCTTCATGGGAGTCAGGTTTTTAAAAGAACGTGCCTTACATGTGTCCTTTATCACTGGAAACTTTCTCTGTGTGGAGAACTGATTTGGGGCACTATTTCTATTGCAAAAGCTCCATTAATTCCCACTGTATGTAGTTGCAGGCTACAAAGTTGACAAAGCTTTTCCTGTACATTTTTTCACAGTTGTTTACACAGTAGTTGGTTCTAGTGAATATTGGCTGTAGTTCAGGGTGTTCATTGGAGGTCATGTAAACACTGTGGGCAAAGCTCAGGCATGCACCCATAATTGGAGAATTTTTAAGATCATCAGTAGATTTAACTTACTGTCTGGTCAGTTCTCTGCCAGAGAAGGAGTCTTCTCTTCGAACAATTTCTCTGCTCTGGTATTCTTTACATGGCTCAAAAATAGTGCATATGTTAGTTTTGCTTAGGAAAGGTTTTGTTTTCTGTTACATGGCAGGATTCTTCCTACTAGTAAAATACATGGTGAAAAGTGAATATCATTTATGCATAAAAAGTTTATTTTTGCTTCATGCAAAATGTGTTTTACAGAATTACTTCATTCAGGATTTAGAAGAAAAAAACAACATCCCTATATACTTATTATTCTTCATTTACGTTTGCTGTGTATTTCTTCATAAATTATAAAATTCTTCTTCATTTATGATTACTGTGTATTTCTTCATAAATCATAAAATTCTGAGTTACTGAGCTACTGCCAGTCCCAAAACTAAGGGTAGAGAATATTAGGGCAGGCAGCAGAAATATTTAACCAGTCTTGGTAGTTTGCCATTGCCTGTTTTGCTAAGGGAAGTGAGCAAGACGTATTCTTTGAACTGTTCTATGTGCAGATTAGATGAGATACTGGATTAAAAGTGGAAAGTATCTGTCTGGTTATTTGTGATCTTATGGTTTATGAATCAAAGCCTTGGCTGTTGCTAAATTTTAGGATGTATTGCCAAAAATGCAGGCTCAAAATGTACTGTGTGCCTGCATATGCCAATGCAGATGATTAAAAGTTGTTTTATCAGCTGATGTAAAAGCACAGGAATTCAGTAAAGGATGGCAGAGGAGGGTTTGTGGGAGGGCAGTGTTTGCTCTCCTGCAAATTCACATGGCATCACTATGAAACATGAGTGATAATGATGCCTGCTCTGACTATTTCATTTGTGTTTACACTGGCAGTACTGTAGGAATATTTAGTGGAAGGCATTAGCATCTAGAAATAATGATGACAAGTTTGTCCAAATAGTAGCCTTCATTTATTACTGTCAGACACCTAGCAGTGAACGTAGAAAATATGTTCCTATATATTTCAGGAAAATTAAGTAACTGTGGTACAATTTGCACATGGATGGGAAAGTGTAGTTCTACACTGTCTGTCCCCTTCCTCTACTGCTGGGAAAATGCCAGATTTGGGAGTGGAGAAAGTAATAATCATTACCTTATTGTCATTTCAAACAGAGAAGCATCTGATAAAACAAAAATAATGTTTCAAGTGTATGATTGCACTGCAATTGGAAAATGATACAATGCCTTCCCTTCAGAAAACCTGTTTATTACAAGTGTCTCTATGCTGAATGTGGGGAGGGAATATAGATCTGTACTATCCTCTAAGGTTAGTTCTGTTGTTTTCTTTGCAAGTATGCATTTCTCTGGTAAAATGAAACCTTGTGAGAGTTTGGGCATGAAGAATCACTTGGAAAAAGTGTGTGGGGTTATTTTTTCCCCTTTCTGTAATACTAAGCCTTGTTATTATACAGAATGAGCATAGAAGGACCTGGGAGGAGCAGTAACTAGAAGGGGATTTAGTAGTTTAGGTGAAACAGGGTTTGATGGTAACTTAGAAAATAAATGGAAGATGTTCATGTACTTCTGTGGATAGAACTAGGAGGGATATATTTGTCAGAAGTGAATTAATTTACCCCAAACCCTTCCTATATAGCAGTAGTGGACCAGCTGCAGTGCTTGTTCTTGGTTTAGTAGATTTAAGTGTAGTCAGCTGAATCGAATACTTGATCTTTTTTCCACTTACAAAAGAGTGCAATAATCATTAATAAATAGTATTTATTAAACCTCTAACGGTTTGCAAGAGGAGCCTTTGGGTCATGTTTCAGACACCAATGAACCAATAAATCAGCACTCTCAAGTGTTTACCAGCTATAATTTATACCTGTTTTGCAATCAAGAAATAGTTTTGATAGGCCTTCAAAAAACAGTAGACCAAATCAGTCACTGCTTTAATTGAATTTATTTGATGACAAAAATTGTGATGTGTGGCAGGGGTTTGGAGACCTTGATCAGGTAAGTATAAGAAATTTCAGGTGCTTATTGGACCTTCTAATTCAGTGGATTGGATTGAAATCTCATGAAAACAAGGTTTTGTATGTGTATATGCATCTGAGTTTTGTGTAGTTGAGACTTTTTTTCTCTCCTCCACTGTTGTGAAATGCTGACTATTCAAGTCCCATCTAGTATATTGCAAGTGCATGATGAAATTCAGTTGAAAATGGTAAGGGGGAGACAGTTCGCTATATTTCACAGATCATCAGGTATTTCTGATAAGACAGGGAAATGAGCACTGGAGTTCATCTTTGGTTTTTCT